GGGCCCGGAGTCTGAGTCCTGCGGGCACTGAGGACGAAGGCAGGGGCGGCTGGTGAAAGGGCCGTTCATCTCCAGGAAGCACAGGGGCGCGTTGGGCTCAGGGACGCTTATTGAACATGCGTTTGTTCCATCAGAAGCTTTTCAGGAGCAAATGACATGGTTATAAAACGGTGGGTGCACTTCGAGCTCTGGGCTCGCAGGAATGGAATATTCCAACGAGTCAGAAATCGGGGGCCTGATCGGCGAGATTTAAGATGCACATGAGACGAGGAGGAGAGAGGCTGCCTCCTGCCAGGTTCCTGTCAGCCTGAGAGCCACGCGAGCAAAGAACTCGGTGTGCAGCTAACTGAGTCAGCGATGGGCCTGGCCGAGCTCCCCGCGTTGCCTGGGTGATGGAGACGCTCCCTCCAGCCAATGGGAAGAGGCTTCGCACAGGGCATGCGCAGTCGGCGGGGTGATGCACAGCGCATGCGCAGTCGGCAGGGTGATGCACTGGCGCCAGGCTACCTGCACGCTGGGAGGGCGCCGAGGTCGGGAGGGGGTAGGGGGGGTCCAGACAGTAAGGTGAGCCCAGGGAGCACGTGGAGGGCGCGTAGAGGGACGTGCTGAGCCGCGTCTCCCCGGCACCTGGGCGTGGCTCCTGCCTGTTATGGCTCCTGGGGTGTCATCTCCACCAGCTACGTTAACAAGAGTCAATCCGGCCACTGGCCACGGGTCTGCTGTGCGCAGGGGCATCTCAGGGCCCCAGGGCAGGAGGGCCAGGCGTCCGGCTGCAGGAGGAAGGAGGAGCTTGGAGGAGGGGGCTGGGAGGCGGGCGACCGGAGAGCTCTGAGGTGCGCGTGCTCGCCCACCGGTGTGGCAGGAAAGCCTCCGATGGGACATCGGGCGGCCCTTCCCGGAGAGACGTGCGCGCGGGCCTCTCTGTTTTTGCGTAAAAACTGTCTCCAGTCCCTTAATCTGCAGGGCAGATCCGGCACACACATCCGCACTCTCCCGTCCCCAACACCTTGGGCACCGGCCCCTCAGGGCGTGAGGCCTCTGGTTATGGTCAGTTATGTCCATCCGTACGCGCTGGGCCTGACTAAGTTCTATCCGGAGCTGAGAACCCAACTCGTCTAAGCATAAAGCTTGCCAGATCAGTGGATTCAACCTTGCGCCAATCAAAAGGTTAGGATCGCCTGGCTGGTGTGGCTCAGTGGTTGAGGTTTGGCCTATGGACCAGGAGGTTGCGGTTTGGTCCCAGGTCAGGGCACAGGCCCGGGATGTGGGCTCGATCCCCAGTAGGGGGCGTGCAGGAGGCGGCTGATCAATGATTCTCTCTCATCACTGATGTTTCTATCTCTCTCTCCCTCTTCCTCTCTGAAATCAATAAAAATGTATTTTTTTTTTAAAAAGGCGTAGGATTCCCTGTGTAAAGAACCAGGAAGTAGAGGGCGGCTGCTGAGGGCGGGATGGGGCTGGGCAGGCACAGCCTCCCGCTGGAGATGAGAGAAGGTTCTGGAGCTCTGAGATTGCACAATAGCCTGGGCATATTTAACATTAACGAACCGCACAGTGAAAAGCGGTGAACGCGGCCCCCTTCATCTCGTGGCTTTCAGCACAATGCTCAAAAAAGACTTTATATGACAAAGTCATAAGAATTTGAATTCCCAATCGGAAAAGGAAATGGACTCAGAACAAATGTTTAAGGAGGAAATTTAAAAACATATAATGGAACCAAAAAGGGGGGGAGGGGGGCGAACCCAGGCAGCACTGAGACGTGAATTGCCTGTAATCGTCCGCTCTGGAGCCTGAGTGCTTCTTGCTGGCGCCGCGCAGGGCAGCGGGGTGTTCTCCGCAGCAG